GACATCCGATTTGAGAGATTTTTATATGATTAGACTCGTGGGAGTACCAGGTTTCTGAAAATGTTAATTTCACCCAATTTCGAGACGTTGGCCTGAGGGGAATTTTGGTCATTTTATATGATTTCGCGTATTAGCTTAGAATGTAATTGTAAAATCAGTTACTTGAAGTGTTATTTACAATATGCAATTGAATTGAATAGATTTGGGCTATTTGGAGTCGGATACTCGTGGCAAAAGTGTGATTTCGAGTTGATTTTGAGCTGGTTCGAGGTAAGTGGCTTGTCTAAACTTGTGGGGGGGGAGGGGAGGACCTTTCCCCTTAGGATTGATATTGTGGTAATTGAAATGCCTCGTACGTGAGGTGACGAGCGCGTACTTGTGCTAATTGTTGGAAAATCTAGTTTTTCATAAAAAATAGCCTTGAATTGTGTTCTTCCTCTTCTTGCTTACATTGTTTGGACATTACACCTGCTGTAGCTTAGAGAAACCATGTCTACTTGACTAATTTGCACTATTTGCCTTAACTGCCTTAATTGTACTACGTGAATTATACTAGGTTAGGATTTCCTGCTTCACCTTGTTATGAAATTGATTGGATTAAATTCTTGTTGTTGCTGCGTATTACTTTGGGACTACGGAACGGTATTCCGGGAGATCCCCCTGCACTTTTATTTTGGGACTACGGGACGGTATTCCGGGAGCTCCCCCTGTATGTTTACTTTGGGACTACAGAAATTTCATTCCGGGAGATCCCCCTGCACATTATGAGTTGGACTACGGGATTGCACCCGGGAGTTTCCATTGGATATGATATTATATTCGGGGACTACAAGACGGTATCCTGGGAGATCCCCGGTTGTTATCTTGGAGCTGAATTGTATTCTCTTCTATGTTTTACTTGTCTCTGATGTATGACTGGTGTCTTTCACTGTTGGGGCGTGGGCCTGCATGGTCCCTTCTGTTATCATTTCTGCGATCTTTTCTCACCTCCATTTGGACTGATGTCAACCGTTGGGTCGGTCCGTTGATGTCGTCCTCATCTGCTCACACCTCGGCGCACTATGCGTTGTGTATTTCATCCCAAGTGGTAGGGGATATTTCATGAGTCGACTTAACAATTTCTTGGTTGCCCTCGAACCGCTCCTATTCAGCCCATTTTGGAATGATGCTACCGCCATTCTTTCTAACACGTTTGGAAGAGTCATTCTAACACGGTTGAACCTGGCGAGGAAGTCCCTGAGCCTTTCGCCAGGTGATTGTTTGATGGCGAATATATCGTTCACCCTCGCCTCTGCTTTCCTGGCCCGGCGTGTGCGGTGACGAACTTGTCGGCCATTTCCTCAAACGTTTCTATGGACCGCGCTGGCAGTTGCGAGTACCACGTCAGCGCTCCCCCAATTAGGGTTTCACCAAAAAATTTCAACAATATCGATGATACTTGCTCCTTGGCAAGGTCGTTGCCCTTTACTGCAGTGACATAGTGGGTGACGTGATCTTCAGGGTCCGTTGTGCCGTCATATATCTTCAAGTATGGTGGCATCTTGAATGTTTTAGCTATAGCATGGGGTGCGGCCTCGTCGTTGTATGATTGTTCTACAAACCGGGCGGCGTCTCGTTTTTGTAGAAGCTTTTGGGCGCCTGGTATCTCATCTACCCTTTCCTGGTGCTCCCTTATTTGGTTGCGGAGGGCTTTGTTCTCGTTCTCCATCTCCTCCATTTTTCTTAGAATAGCTGTAAGGGTGTCATTACCTGCATCATTAACAGTGTGAGTGATACCTTTTGAAGGAGGAGGGATGTGTTGCTCAATGGTTGTTGTGGTGATGTCGACTTGTGCATCTTCCATGCTCGCCCTTTGGGCGGGTTTGTCGAGTATGCTGGTTAGCGTATTTGTTAGACATGCTTCCACTAGTTTTTTTACTGCTGGTGGTGGTTCTTCCATTGTGGATGTAGAGGATCATTTTCCATGGGAGGTGGTAACGCTGCCACGAGGAAGAGGTGAACCACTTCGCCTAGTTGAAGCGTTTGGTGTCACGTTCTCCTCGTCTTCTCCATTAACCTCATTGATGGTGTTTAGGAGGTTAGCAGTAAGGCCTGCCACTGCTTTCGATCTTTCCTCTCCGTTACCTTCCATGTTAGGTTGTGCAAGTAGGAAAAAGAAATTTTTGTGCTTGTTTTTTTTAGATCTAGAAAAACTATGGCTTTGACTAGAAAATATCCACACACGGCGCCAAATTGTTTGACCAAAAAGCTTAATCCTTTTCGTTAAACTAATTAAATAAGATTATAATGGATAAATTCTAGTGAATCATAATAAATGCTAGATCTGAATTTGGTAGATATGAATAATGTAAAATTGCACTTAATGTTGTTTAATACCAAGGGGGTGTTTAATGATATTGTTATGAATGTACGAGGGAGTAATGACAAGCAATAAATGTATTAAATGGCAAAAAACGTAAATAGAGAGAATGATTCACCCAAATATTCAATGAGGTGGATGATTCTCACTGTGACAATGATGTAAGACAAACAAACGTGAAAATATAGAAAGCTTTCTCGGATCTGACGTGAGAAAGCTTGGGACCAACAAGAAATCGAATCTTTTTGTAAAGACAATATTTATAATTTATTTGAGAGTCACATTTTCAAGAGAGAGTTTATCGTATAGAATATTACATACCCCTTTCTTCTCTCTCTATTCCTACTTATATGGGACATATCCCTTACCTAATTGAAAGTACAAGTGCAGAGAATATTCCGTAGAATATTCCTCTAAAATATCTTATTACTAAACTAGTCGTTCGGGCTGATCTGAGTGCTTGACCTCGACCCTAGCCACTTAGCTCGCCAATAGGTTCCTTCTTAAGCACGACCTCGGTCTAACCGACTCTTAGTTATCCTCTCTTAGACAAGATTCCTTTGGTTAGATTTTGACCCATACAATATAAGGAAAGGGAGAGAGTAATCCATTTTATTTTATATGGGATTGTTTTACTTGACACATAATCTAGAAAAGAAAAACTGTAGAAACTTGTGATCTAAAACAAGCCAAAGATATTTGTGTGAAAATGAAAAGTGTAAAGTAGGAATATTTCAAAATATAAATGCATTATTCTTTTCGGGGCAAGCTAAAAAAAAGTGTGATACATAACTAAATCAGGATAGAATATACAAATAAAGAAAAGGAAAACTAAAAATTAGACTGGATGGACTTTTTAAAACCACTATTTATATTTTGACCCTTTTAGGAAAAGTTTTGGGAAAATAACCCAGAATCAAAATTTAAAACACGTTTGCTAGAAGTTTGAAGTACCTGCCAGAATATTGAAGCACCATAAACTATGATGATCACCAAAATTTCCAGCCACAATGCTAAAAAGTTCTAGTAATCCATCAGAATTTGTGCAAAATCCTGACGATCATCATAATTGCAGCGTGTTTTAAAATTCCGGCGAGCGACTTTTCCCGAACTTCAGCTACCGAAGTAAAAAAACCAATAGTGATACTGAAGTGTCCTATTTTAGTCATTCTCCTAAAGGAAAAGCTAAACCCTAAACTAAACAGATTTCCCACAGCAAATCTCCTATGGCATTCAATCTCCTTAAGGAAAAGCCTGCCTAAGTCAAGTTCCTCTGTAAGTTCACTGATCAAAACGGCAAGCAGGCCGTAATCTTGTCTGCCGAATATAAAAGTTGGTCCAATTAGTTCATTCATATATACTGTAGTTTCATTTAATATTGGAACCAAGCCGCTGTGCAACTCTAATTGTATTTAAAGTCTCTGTTTACAGTACTTTAATACTAAAATATCACGTTAAGACTACAACAACAACAATAACAACAACTCAGTATAATCCCACTTAGTAGGGTCTGGAAGGGTAGTGTGTACGCAGACCTTACCCCTACCCTGGGGTATAGAGGCTGTTTCCAAATAAACCCTCAGACATCCTTCCCTCCAAGAACTTCTCACCTTGCTCTTGGGAAGACTCGAACTCACAACCCCTGGGTTGGAAGTGAAGGTTGCTTACGATCAGAGCAACCCCTCTTATCACGTTAAGACTACAATCATTCATTTTTACGAACCTTAAATAGGTCTCCCAGTTTGGCAAGTGATATTGTTATTTGCAACACTGCAAGCTGACATGATTTTATTATTTTTATTTTTTTGAGAAAAAACAAAACTTTAAGCATTTTATTCATCTCCAAAAGGAAGTTACAATCGACTTAGAGGTAGCTGGAAAGCTAGTATTCCCTTAACCACCTGAGATGAGGTAAATGCTTTGATATTTCATGATGTTTAGCAGCTAATCCTTTACACGAAGACATAAATTCAAGCATCACACACTGTTAAAGGGTTTGTACAAATAAGACATTTGATGTTACAAACTCATACTCTAAACAAATCGTAGTATATATTTATTAGCTGAAAAGCAACAAGAGAAAATGATCAAAATGGCGGTTAGTGTATTAGGGTTGGTCTATTTTGGTCCGTCATATATACACCTTTATAGCTATCTGCCTTAATGTAAATGTAGAAAGGGGACACTTTTAGTCATAAACCCTAAACTAAACAGATTTCTCAAAAATGGCATTAAGTTTCAACACCAATTTCCATCTGCGGCTAACAAAATTCACAAAAGCAGATTCCACAAGCTTTCGTATTTCATCTTTAATTCCCTCTTTCTAAACAATATGAATTTCAAGATTTCTCTGATATGGGTTAAATGAGAAGAGCACAACATGTCGAATGTTTCTACATGTTGCACTGTTCATGTGAGTTCCATTGCCTCTGATTGTTTTTTGTTGCAGTGCGCCGGGCTGCCCTTTTATAATTCAAAGGTAATGGTACCAAAATAGTTCTCACAAAAGGCAAAAGACAAAACAAGGCTGAAACGAGCATAAGAAGATATTATCTTCCTACAATCTAAGAGCACAGTCATATCAAATAGTGTACTCCATGAAAAGTTAATAATCAGAGTACTTATTAAAAGGAAGAGGATATAAGGGAGGTTATTTATCAAATCGTACAACATCATTATAACATCTTATAGTGTTATCAGAGCTCCAAACAATCAAAAGAAAAACATCATATCAGCAACCTGTGCATAGTAATAATGCAAGCTGGTCGCCTGGAATTAGAACTAAGGATCCTACAGGATAGCTTTTCAACTACTTTCACCAATTTGAGATAGGAGAATGACGTAAAACACAATTAAGACACACGAGAGTCGTGTCGCCACAAGCATACAAAAGTTTTAGAGGATGAAAATCATATACTGTCGTTACAAGCCAAGGTAAGAATCCCTCTTAGCAAGCTAAGCATATGACCGCTTCCCTTATCCTGAACGGCAGTAGCCCTGCTGTAACATTTACCATGGGTAATACTAAGTAACTTAACAACATGTCTTTCCCGACAAGAACATCTTCACGAGAAGAACAACAAACCCCTACCTTGAAGGTAGAGAGGCTCTTGAAGGTAGAGAGGCTGTTTACGTAGAACATCTTCACGAGAATTTAAAGTAATCTTTTTACAGTGAAGAAGTTAGAGTAATTTTGTGAATGAAGAGATGACCAACTGAAAATTGAACCTCAAATAAAATTTAACCCAAACAGTCAACAACGGGAATGAGGTCCATTCATGGCTTTATTTAGAAGAAGAAAAACCCTCAGCTCTTTGTCGCTCAAAAACATTAAAACATGATTCTTAGCCTTGAAATTCAACTTTTGGAAGGGGATTTCATCTGTCTCCAGCAGACCATACTGTGATCATGGAGCTTTTACTCAGCTGTTGCGCTACTAAACTAGTGCTAGTTGCCACCCAACTATTCCAAGTAGCACAAGTATATTTCCCTCCATTCAAATATCAAATAGCATAACTATGACCAATAATAGAATGTCCACGAAGTTCTTCAAACCTACAAACTGTTTCTACAAACCTACAATAAAAGAATCTTAAGCCTTTAATGTTCTGCCAAACATGCTACCAAAATTTTAAATATACAAGACAGACATTTAGGACATGCATATCCAAGTCAAAACTGTATTATTAAGTACCTTAGTGATAGCTCCTCTACAGGCTATTCCTTCAACACCTTAGCACCAAAGAAATAAGAGGTATCATATACTTCGTAAATTGGCCTTCAAAAGATACTGAATAGCAGACAACCATCTTGCAATGAAAAGTTTCCATATTCTTTACCAGTGTGTGACTCCTCCAGGGGTTCCAGTACTTTACCAGCCACCCAATTGCTTATGGACCTTTGAACTCAGTGAAGATTTCCCACCTTTGTCCTTGTATGTATTCCTGGAGGCAAAGTTCCTCTTCCCCCGATGGGCAGCTTGAATGGCCTTCCTCCTCTGCTTGCTCAGGCTCTTCACAAGTTCGGCATCATCTTCAGACTCGGCCTCTCCATCATCCTCAGGATCATGCTCATCCCCAACTTGATGATTATCATCATGCTCATCCTCAACTTGATGATTGTTATCCTCCTGCAAGAATAAATATCATTAGTAAGTGCCAAGAGACCTGGGAATTCTAGAACTTTTGTTCATCTGCTTGAGAAATATAAGCCGACACACCTGCCACAGAGATATGGTGGAATATGCATCCTTAGTTTATTCAATACGATAGGCAAAGGCCCAATAATGTATGATATTACTCAGAAATTAGGAAAAATAATTGTTGTAGCAAGCACATCCTATTCTGTTGGGTGGTGATAAATATATATTACAAAGGAAAAAAGGGGCAGCTCGGTGCACTAAGCTCCCGCTATGCACAAGGTCCAGGCAAGGGCCGGACCACAAGGTTCTATTGTACGCAACCTTTCCCTGCATTTCTGCAAGAGGTCGTTTCCACGGCTCGAACCCGTGACCTCCTGGTCACATGGCAACAACTTTACCAGTTACGCCAAGGCTCCCCTTCGTGGTGATAAAATGTCCTACATTAATATGCAGCAGAAATCTGGTGAGTCAACAATAATATGGTAACTGATAAGGGGCAACTTAACACTAATGTTTCAGGGATATCTGATTTACATAAACAGATATAAGGGTAATGTCCCGTACCATGCCAAAAGTGATTAATTGCCAGCCTACCAGTGAACTCTCATCATAAATAGACACATAGTATGAGTAAATTGTAAAACTTCTACAGCAGACAATTGCAACGGTTTAGGAAGGCTTTCTAGAAAGACTTGTACTAATTAGATTATGTCTCGTACTACAAGCAATTTTTTTTAAAAAATATCTCACATTATTATGTAAAAAATGTCAAGATGGTTTGACTCTCCTGCTCTTCTTTATGAAGTAAGTAGTTTCATTAATTGGCATCAAGAAGATAAAAGTTTTACAAAAGATAAGGACTGCAAAAAGGGAGAAACAGCACCGATACATATGCCTAAACTGCTAGGGAGCTGATAAAGTCAAGAAAATTTATAGGGCAAGTTACAACAGAGAGATTTTGCCAACTAAATAAAAGTAAAAGACATCTAGCCTTAAGGGAGTGTTAGGAGTTGATATTCCATCAAAACACCTGGCAATTCCGTCCAGTCCAGACAATGCAGAAAGCATCAAAGATTGACTCTCCTGCTTTTGCTTTACATGAAAGCTTTTTAGTAAGTTAATAAAATTTCATTAACAACATATCAAGAAAGAGTCCAAAGTAATTACAAAGATGACTCAACTGCACTAATCTATTCTTATTTTGCTTTACAAAAGAGATACTTGAGGATCATCTTTATGTTCCATATTTTTATAAAAAATGCTCCAACTTTGGTTTTATCGCACGTTACCATGTTGCGGTAACAAAAAATAGTGTTGAGAACTAGGTCCCATATCCCCTTATCAACCAAAAGCACCAGAAACATTTCAACTAATGACTTTAATATGAGATCACTACAGGTCTCTGTCTCTTCGCTCTTTCCTTCTTAGTGGAGAAAGGGAAACTACCTTCTCCAACTGCAGGGATTCAAGCTGCTTGATGTTTGTCTCGTTCATGTCTTCATCTTCATCATCACCAGTTCCTTCATCATCAGAATCTGAATACATGTCAAGCTCTGCCTCAGTTAACTGCAAACAAAGTAAAGAATAACTAGAAAGTCAAGTACAACAGGCGATTCACATTCAAATGGCAGGATATCCTGCAGCTGCAGTAAGAATTATCACCATTACCACAATCTTGTCAAGCCAAAAAACAACACTTCGTACATATGCATTATACTGAAAAGGGAAGAAAGGGCAATTCACTTAGCCATGTAGAGAATATGAGGTATGAAAACTGGCTGAATATTGTCTCTAACAGACACTAAATGAGTCTTCTTTTCATGATACAAAGACACTGTTTAAGTGAACACACACTCTGCAAAAACATTCAACTAGAGAGGTGGTGAAATTATCCTTAGCATATACCTGGTGAATACAATCCAAACAAATTGATATTTAACAGAAATATCGTAAAGCGTAAGCATTTTTCAAACAATATACAGTTACAGGTCAATGGATCTATCTAATCAGACATGACACAAAAGAAAAGAGGTAACTTCTCTAGTTTCAGGGAGGACATTGAAATGACCGAGGGCATTTATGCTGTCAATGTTCAAAGGAAAAGTGTGCACGACATTTATCATTAATGTAATTTCATGGTTCACTACAACAGCTTCCTCTCCATATTTCTGCAATAACAAAGACCTTCTCTATTGTTTACAGGGATGCAAAGAACTCAGTTCCGATTTATTATAATCACAGCATCAACCTCCTCTGTTAAACTCCATGAGGTAGCTTGAAGAAATTTTACACATTTCCATATATAGACTAAAATGCCCTCAAGTTGATGACTAATACGTTTTTTAACTTCTTCAACTTTGGGTATTTTATTTTAATATGCTAGTCTTATATCTAATGGTATATTGATACAACCCAGGGAGAACCACACCCCAAAAGCTAGCTATTAAGGTGGGAGAGCCCAAAGTTATATAAACCCCACATCAGCACATTGCCATACCGATGTGGGACTCAAGTCCCATGCCTTGCAATGGATCAAAACAAACCACCACGCTCCGCATCCGTCGTCCCCGACGGTTGTGCGCTAGACTTTTCTAGCCCCGAGCGAACACTGCAATACCGGCGTCACCATCCATGGCACGGTAGGCACGGAAGGCGGTGGGTGCTCTGATACCATTGATACAACACAGGAAGAACCACACCCCAAAAGCTAGCTATTAAGGTGGGAGAGCCCAAGGCGATATAAACCCCACATCAGCACATTGCCATACCAATGTGCGACTCAAGTCCCATACCGATCTTTTGGGGTGTGGTTCTCATGGGTTGTATCAATGATATCATAGCCACCCACCGCCCTCCGTGCCCACCGTGCCATGGATGGTGACGGCGGTATTGCAGTGTTCGTCCGGGGCTAGAAAAGTCTAGCGCACAGCCGACGAGGACGACGGATGCGGAGCGTGGTGGTTTGTTATGATCCATTGCAAGGTATGGGACTTGAGTCCCACATCGGTATGGCAATGTGCTGATGTGGGGTTTAGATAGCCTTTTGGGGTGTGGTTCTCCCTGGGTTGTATCATATATTTATAAGTAAAATTATGTACATTTTATCATTGATTTCAAGGAAAAGAGGTCATATCTTATATCTTAGCATTCTCTTAGCTACCTAGCATGGAATTACATGAGAAATTGCATTATAACCTATACTCTTTGCATGATTATGAGATTGATTCCTTCTTAGCACTTCTCAAGCAGTCCTCCAAAGTAACTCCATTATTCATTCTATTAGGCAGACCATAAAGGATTCTCTAAGGACTTCACAGAAAAACATGACCATGATAATTAAATCATTTTTATGAAGTCATTGTAATTAGAAATTTTGCTGCTGATCAATGTTTCCACCTCATTCTCAGATCCTTATCCTAAATTTCACCACTCACTACAGTATAAAACTTCTAAGATTGTCATAACTAAGACTACAATTTGCATTCATCGCTTTGCATCGTGTGGAATCAAGTACTAAAGACTCATAATCCAACTCAGGAAAATATCATCAACAGATAGCATCAATCACATTTGTCACACAGTTGCAATATTCAAAGTTAACTTTCCAGATCAGTACGACAAACAGCTTCATATAAGTCCCAGAATAAGTCAATCAATCTAAACATAGTTTTCTTTATTTGTTTCCCTTCTTAGTGGAATAAAGCTATATCTGAGAAGCTTCTTCCTTTTCCTAATAAGGTTAACAATTTTTAATGCAATTTAGCCAAAAACAGTAGTTTGATTGTACCTTTTCCAACTCATTTTGATCCTTTCTTGTAAAACCACTGGCAGCAAGTTCTTTGTCCAAGAAACCGCTATTTTTGTTTATTTCAGAGAACTGGGGCCGTCCAACTTCATCCATTTCAGCCTCTGAACCATCAGAATCATTTTCATTTTCTTCAAATAACATATTGAACCTAAAGATAGGTGAGAGAAATAAAGTATGAGCTCACATTTCAGAGGAAAATTTAGCATCCCAAAAAACATATGTAACAGCCCAAAATATCTGGATAAAAAAGTGAATTCAAAAGATGAGTCACAGAAATACATCATAAAGTGGAACAATAGTTTCTTGGTCAAACAAATGAACAAGTACAATTAAACACAATAGAGTAGTCACTAACCGCTTTTCAAAGAACTTGTAGATGCACTCCACATCACGGTCAAAATACCTGGAATAAAGAAAATTGTATCAGTAGCAAACAATTCTGCTAAGAACGCATAATAATCCTCAGCACACAATGATCCAAAGGTAAAGGGGGGGGGGGGGGGGGGGGGGGAAAGATAGAATAATAGAACTTCGAATGGTATCCAGATCGAATAAAATGGTACAGTATCCTACATTTGGGCATTAGGATGAGAGACTGACACCATTTGCGGGAAATCAATCATGGTGACCTTTTCATCATCATCAATCTGCAATCCAATTAATTAATACAAGGAAAATCAGAAAACTTATAAACAGGTCTAGTATAAGCCTATATAATAAAATTCAGAGCAATTGAAAAGGGCAAAGAACTGAAAAATGAAATCAACATATCCTAGTTGTACACTCAGCAAACCAAGCACACAAGAAACAAAATACAGCAGTTAAATATAATGATAGCTTCAAATAAATCAAAGAAAGATCATAAGATACCATTATGTTAAATTCATTAAAATCGCAGTGAATAAGCCCGTGTTCTGCCAGACGAACAACAGCACCAATGATTGTTTCAAAAACCACATCTGGGTTTTGCAGCTCCTTAACCTGCACACTATTTTAACCATCATAATAAGTTTTCCCAACAGCATTTCTAGGAAGCAACCAATAATACGACAATAATGCACACACAGTTGAAGATCAAAAATCTGTTTTTCCAAGGTTTAAGACCTACATAACAGTTATTATTACAGCTTAACATTATTCTCATAATGCTATTAAATAGAGTATTCTGTGTATCTTACAAGGAGCTGTTGCTATAAGTACAAAATAGACTAGCAAGATTATAGAGTTTGTGCAGGAGCGAGAATCCCCAAGTAGTAGTTGGGAAGAAAAGTTAGGACTACAAACTTACTTAAGCTTCCAAAGGCCAGTTTAGCCACATAATTGATCATGCAAAGGTCCATGACTCTAACATACCATTTTTAAAGGCGATTATACTTGAAGAAATGAAAAATTAGAACATGATAATTCCTATGAAGCAAGCTATGTAGAATTCTATGCTACTATATGAAAACTCAATTACTGAGACATAACGGTTATGCAGAACCTCCAATACCACAAACAGAATATATTTTTTCAAGTTATGATGGTGATTAGAAATAAGTAATTCTCATTTCATCGCATCCTTATGACTAATATTGTGAAACTTGGCATTGACAAAGTGCCTCTATCACCCAAAGGTAAGTTTTATAGAGGTGGTGGTTAGACCGACCATGTTGTATGGGGCTGAGTGTTGGCCAGTTAAGCAATCACACATCCAGAAGATGAAGGTAGCAGAAATAAGGAAGTTGAGGTGGATGTGCGAGCATACTAGGATGGATAAGATTAGGAACGAAGTTATTCGGGAGAAGGTGGGCGTAGCTCCTATGGATGATAAGATGCGGGAAGCGAGGCTCAAATGGTTCGGGCACGTACGGAGGAGAAGCCTAGATGCCCCGGTAAGGAGGTGTGAGCGGTTAGTTTGGGAGGGTACGAGGAGAGGTAGAGGGCGGCCTAAGAAGTATTGGGGGAGAGGTGATCAGACAGGACATGGCGTGGCTTCAGATTTCTGAGCACATGGCCCTTGATAGGAAGGTTTGGAGGTCGAGCATTAGGGTTGTAGGTTAGGAGGTAGTTGAGCATTATTCTTCTTTGTACAAGTGTGAGGCTAGTCCGATAGGGCTTTGTCTTAGACTGCTAGTGGTCATGATGTGTTCACACTATTCTACTGTTCTTTGTGCCTGACCCTATCTACTGATTATTGTTAGTGCTTTGCATCTACTCTATGGTATTATGTTGTTGTCATTACTTCTATTGTTTTCTGATGCATTGTCTCTCTTTTCATCTTCTTAAGCCAAGGGTCTTCCGGAAACAGCCTCTCTACCCCTCGGGGTAGGGGTAAGGTCTGCGTACACTCTACCCTCCCCCAAACCCCACTTGTGGGATTTTACTAGGTTGATGTTGTTGTTGTTGTTGTTGGCATTGACAAAGCATTGCATATGTACTGCTAGGTAAATAACACCTAGTTCACAAAAGTTTAAAGAAATTACTAATATCTACTTCTACATATAACCAATGACGAAGGACCCTAGAACTAAAAAGACCATTAGAAAAATCTTCATCGCCATTGAATTTCTTCTTCAACGGCACTAAAGATTGATGATGGACTAAAAACTTTTAGAAACGGCCTCAATCTCCCCTCAAACTTCTTAAACAAAGTCAAGCAAAACTGATCCAAAAAATCGTCATTATCTCTTACCACATGTGCATCCTATTCCCTGAGAAGGAATAGAGAAGTATAAAGGGGAAGTGGAATTTATGGCCATAGTTATAGCTTAAGACAAAAAACAAGTGGCCTTCATCTGAAAATTAAGTTTAGCATACACAATAAAGTAAAACAGCAGCATCACCAGAATGTAGAACCACCAAGATGGCATTAAAAAGTGTGCATTACTTACAGTGGATAGCCTGGTACAAGTGACATAATCAAACAATGTCGATTGCAATCGACAGCATTTGGAACAGGGAATCCATGTTCTTCTAGTGCCTGCTTACACGAGCACTAAATATCAAAACAAATATCCAAATTCAAGGACAATTAGTGTTGTCAAAGGAGAAAAGCGTTAAAAATGCTCCAGGTCTATCAAAGCTTTGCGCAAAGCGCAACTAAAGTGTGAGCTTAGTTAAAAAAAAGTGCAACTAAGAATTCATGGCAATGAGACACACGCCTTAGAACCTTGCCTACACTGAAGAGCAGCCTAAGAGGGGGGAAGTGCCTACGCTGAGCTTCTTTGAGCTTCAGATATTAAGCACGCCTCAAATGAGCCTTTGACAACACTGAAGACGATAAGGCAAATTAGAGAAGTGCAATCACCTTCATAAATGCAAACTCTTTCAAGGCAGCAAGCCGCGATAAGTAGAGCCAATTATAACTACTACGATGCCTCAAATAGTCACGTTTTGCTTTGACTGCCCTAAATGAAACCCTACCGAGCCTGTGTAACTTCATCGCAAGAACTGTGCCATCTTCCTTTACGACCTCAAAAATATCTATTGGAAAAATGGATAGTTAAGAACATGAAAGTGTAAATCACAAAGTAACAAAAGAAAAGTAGTAAAATACAAGAATATACAGATAAAAGAGTGCTACCAGACTCTTTCCCAGTGCCAAGTTGACGACCCACTCCACTAAATACACCACGATTAACCATGGTTTTTATTGCAAGAAAATCGTAACCAAGGTAGGTGAGTCGAAATCCATCATCTATACAGCAACGTTAAGAAACAAAATTCAGAAGAAATGGCAGCTCACAAAAAAGGGACAAACAAATAGTAAAAAACAAAGGAATAAAAAGCACTCACATTTAGAAGCATCATGATGGACTAATTTGTGCTTTAGCAAATTCTTCAACACTTTATATGAGCCCCCATGCCTATATAATTAAATATAATTAAAAGAAGAAAATAAAAAAATTACTAACATATCAACGCAACAGCAGACAATATACTCCAATTAAGGGAAACGAAAGAGGACTAACTTGAGGGAAGCAATACGGTCAATGAGCTCAGAAGGCACAATTTCATGCTGGAAAAAGAAAAAAAAAGTAAACAAAGAAGGATTATAAACTGAAAAGAAAAAAATTAAGAAAGTAAATAGAGTGAAAAAATGGAAAGGGTAGAGACATTGCGCATGCCCATCTCAACGGCAGTGAGGACCCGGAAATCATCTTTGGAAAGGTATCTCAAAACGTTAACATCCAACTTCATCTTCTTTGCCTCTTCTGTTGCTTGTATACTGGAAAGGTGAAGGATTTTTATTAGCGGTAAGCACTACTGTGCAGCAACAGACAAGTATAAACCCTAAACTATTTGTCTTCTATTCTGGTTCATGGTTTCTCTTGGCTATATGGTTCATCCGGGGGAGAGATTGACCTAAAGTCTTTCTATTTATACAACAGGAATTCAAATAGAATTGAAGTAAAATGAATGTGATAAGACAGAACAAAATTTTATTTGAATTCCAAGTTTTAATAGAAATTTTTTATTGACGAGCTACAGCAATTGCACCTATTAAAGCAACTAAAAGGATTATTGAAATCAGTTCAAATGGAAGAAAAAAATCTGTTGATAAATGAATTCCAATTTGTTGACTATTACTTATAAAATCTTGCTCTATAATCTGGTTTGATCTTGTAGTCCAAATAATCCCGTACCATGACGTATCTGAATTGGACAAAAATATAATTTTGGGAAGAAGGAAAACTTCATGGAAGTTGAGTTTTGCTTTGACCTGCAATTCGTAAAAATCTGGTGTGGGCCTTCGAGTCTAACTATAACGGTGAAAGTGCACAATTAGCCACTAATTGAATATATTTTTACTTTTTAGCAAATGTTTAAAATGTATTTACTTTTTATCCAATACTTAATAAATTTTTACTTGTCCGGACAAAAATACCCATGTGCTAATATTAGGGGGTACAAAATCAGCCCCAACTCATTTGATCCACCCAACCAGCCCAAGTGTTAATGGGTTGGGCAACATGTATTTTGCTAATTGGGCTGATTTGGGCTATGCCCAAAATGACCCATAAAAAAATAGGAATTTTTACATTCTTATATACTATATGAAACTATATTACCCTTCCATACTCAAATTTTACTATAATTACATATTAAATACCCAATTACCATTTATGTACATTTTAAGGGAATTAATGATAATAATTAGTGTCCTAAAATTACTCTAACATATCTTCCACTCCCCTACGTTTCTCTCTCCACATCCCACCCCCTCCCACGTATCTTGCACAAGAGAGCAGCAATTCCACCGTTGACAGCCATTAAAAAGCTTTGAAGCTTTGAATTCGAATTTGGGTTTTCAAAAAACATTGTTTGTTTGGATTGGATGTTGTTGCAAAGAATTGAGAATTCTCTCTACGTCTCACTCTATCTCTCAATCCCAAATTTCAGTAATGTAAAAGCAAAGAAAAAGAGAGAGCAATTCCACCATTGACAGCCGTTAAAAAGCTTTGAAGCTTTGAATTCGAATTCGAATTTTCAAAAATTATTATTTGTTTGGATTGGGTGTTGTCACATCTCCTTTTTCCTACACCCCGTAAAGAGGGTATAATAAATGGAGTTTTTCCAATTTATGTGACAATAGAAACAAGATTATTTTATTAAAAATTCAGAGTCGCCACTTGGGATAATTTATGGTGTCCCAAGTCACCGGTTCAAATCCCGAGTCGAGGAAAAGATTGACTCTGTATTACAGTCCGCGAACACAGAAATCCGGGTAAGGAATTCTGTTAACCCGGGAGAAGGTGTTAGGCATTCCCGAGTTCCGTGGTTCTAGCA